TCACCAGAGCTGGGACGGCAATTCAACGCAGCACCAGCCGAAAGGCTGAGGCTTGCTTTTTCCCTGTCAGTTTAGCTTTGCTCGCACTCTTGTGGGTTCCTGATGAATCCCCCTTGTTCCTGTCTTTGGAGACAGACCCCTACCACGTGGAGACGGTCGTCTTCGTCAACTTTTGGTGGACGAAAGGCACAGGCCGCAGTGTTTTGCACCCTGCCAGATGCCAAAGGCGAGGCGAGTGGCTCAGCCGTTTCCGGTAACGGATCGCAGCAATAGCTGTGCCAAGTTTCGACTCCACCCAGCGCGCTTCGCCGGCGTCGTAAGCTCCGCATTGTGTACAGATTGCCATGTCACGGACGACTGTGCATGATTCGGAAGCACGAGACGGTTCTTTGCCACGGCTTCGCCATGCACAGTTCGGCTGCCTGCCCTCGGGCAGGGGCGTTTCATTTACACTCCCATGTGGCCGGGAAATGTCGGGAAATCGCACTGCTGGAGGAGCGGCGGGAGGTTGCACTCACACCTGCACAAGGCGAATCTTCAAGATGTGAACCAACCTACACGTTGCTTTGAGTGTGCGAAGGGACGAAAACGCGGAAAGGGAGAGGTGCCTTTCAGGCAGCGGAGATTGGGGAACAGCTTTTCGGAAGAACTTAACCGGGCCCGTCATGTTGCGCTCGCCGACCGATTCCTTGCTACTGGCTCCTGACGATGCACTTCACCAAACAGGGCCCGCTGCTAAATCTCCGAGATGGTGAAGATATGTCAAAACACACCTCAACCGAACTTACCACGATGACTGCATGCTACGTCTTCTTACACGGGTTCCAGAGTAGTGCGAGGCGATACTACACTATCACATCCCTTGAACCGACAAGGGTCCCTGAAACACTTCACGGCGCCCAACACGGCACTTAATGGTGCACAAGCGCTGCGTCCTGGGCCCATCTGCCTTTCAATCTTCACTGAACAAGCCGGACGATGGATGACTGTGGAAGGCTCAATGATGCAAGGCCGTGCAAAGCTGTTCCTTCCATGCCGGAAGTCCTCATTGTCCTGCAGCCTCAAGAGAACTGGCATGTATCGAGTCATAGCATGCATGCTGCATGCATGGAACATGGGGCCTGCATCCATACTTTCTCACGAAATGTCGGTGAAATTTTTTTGCGCCTGGCGGCTAACCTGGGACATGCAGCAACACCGATACACGAAATGCTAGGATCGAGGAAAAACTAGAGTTTCTAAGAGTTTTTGGTGCTTTGAGACTTAATTAGGCTACTAAAACTGAGGGTGTACGAATCGCCGTCGAGGCCTCAATATCAGAGAAGGCGAGTGCGTGCAAGCTGTTTCAGATTTCTGATGCAGTTGCCGGCAACAATCCTCATCGTCGACATGCTGCATGCTTACAAGAGTGGGCACTCACCCGCATGACGCAGGAGGCCGGCTAAGAACTGACCCGAAGCTCCTCGTTAAGAACTGGGAGTTTCTTAGGTGCACAAGGACCCTGCCCAACCCCGCAATGCCCGATGGCAGGCAACCATGAAACACAACACTGTGTGTGCAAGAAAGGTTATCGCCGCGGCAAGTGCGAACCTCAGTAAAGCAATCTTGAAACCTCCCTAAAGCAAGCTTCCAGCAGGAGGACCTGTGCCTGTCTTGGATAAAGTGCTTCTCAGGTCATTGACAGGATGTGTGCGTGAGCAGATCTTGATCTAGCAAGGGGTGTCCAGCGCAGCCCTTCGAAACATGTGAAAAAACTCACTTTGGTGGACTTGCAAGCGTTCCCGTGTTGAATGGTTGGCATCCAACCACCGCTCAGAATAATCAGCTTTCATGTGTTCTTATCTCAACACTATCCCCAGCATCTGCGAGTTGAGGTCTGCGGCCCTCTGCATAACGGCTTATAGGAGCCTGGATCTTGAGATCATACTCGCCAAGAAGAGAGCAGATTCAGATGAATGGATGCAACTCGAGTTCTGGCAGATCCTCGCAAAGCGCCCCATCTCACACGTTGCCATTGCGAAGCCAGTGAACAAACACGCCTCTGCAGTCACTGCGAAAACTTTAGCATGAACAAAGCTGTCTCTGTGAGCGCGTACAAGCTCTGCTTGCTCTAGTTGCTTGACTTTGTTTGCTACCCAAAGTCAGTTCTTCAACTTCTTGAGAAAGAACAGCAGCTGTGCAAACTGTAACAATCCACACCCATGCCTCGCGAATTGAACACTTTCCTCGCCCACGAAGCCTTAACCACCTTCTTCTGGCGCCACCCGCCATCTCCTCTCGTTAGCCCCTCTTTCGTGACCTTTGTGGCCTGTGGGTCCCATGAGTGTCACCAGTGTTCCACACACCCTACTGCCCCCACCGCTCTCGCCACTTTCACTGCTCTCACCACTCGTGTAAGGATCTTCAAAGGGCTTCAGCGCAGCAGCCACGAAACCTCTCACCACCATCCCGGCCCGCAGGTGACGTCGGGAACGCACTTGAGTGAAGGCTGGTCACGATGATGTCTGCAATCAAGCACTCTTTCTTATCTGTCTTTTCTTTCTTGCTTTCTTTCTTTCTTTCGAAGAGCACGCTCTCTCTCTCTCTCTCTCTCTCCTGCACGCTTAGCCCCCCCAGAGGGGAGGCTGCCCCTAGGGGCGCGCGACGTCCACAGGTCAGTTGGTTCGGAAGGGCCACGGTTTTCGTGGCCCCCTTTTCATCGCGAGGTGTGTGGTTTCCCCCGAGTAAGAGCAGTCTCTCTCTCTCTTCTTCTTCTTCCTCCTCTTCTTCTACGGGGCATGAGGGCCCTCTTTCGCTCTCTAAATTGTACGACGGCCGTTTGACAAGGAGAAAAAACTATTGAAGTACGGAAGGCAAGCAGGTGGCCAGAATCGGTTGTCAAAGCATTACAAGCCTACAGCCCTTGTAAGGCTCTTCAGGGCGCAAATTTCAAACAGGAGGTCTTGCGGCTTGCGGCCGGGGGGGGGGGGGGGGGGGGGGGGGGGGGGAAGGTTAGAGAGCTTCGGACATTCGGATTCGAGATGGGGGCTTCTAGGGTTCAGGCTTTGCTGAAAATGCTACTAAAGAAGTGAAGACTGTGTCACCATACTGCCTTCAGATGGCAAATATCTATTTTATGGTTGCCTTCTTCAGGGAACTTCATTCAAGTTTCTTGGCGGCATCGGAACTTGGCAAGTTTGCATATATAATATGTTTGGCGGGTAATCTAAATTACGGGCCCTGTTTGAGTCTGCTTGTGCATGTTCCTTCCAGTTTAAGGTTCCGAGTTGAGGGACAGCAAATCCCACCAGAAAGAGCACATAATGACCCTCCCTCAGGGAGTTTCACGTCCCTCGCCATCCCCCCCAAGTATGGCATCATTGCCCCTTAAAGGAACCTGAACAAGGACCTCCAGCTTTCGGAAACTTCCGCTTGGAGACCACCCTAAACCCTAAACGGCGAAACTCGGAGAGGTGCAGAGCTGCACTCGTCATCCAAGGGCAGCGCATGTTTAGCCCGGATGGGGAACTCTCAGGAACTGCATTCTCAAAGCCTGTTTAGAAACAGGCCCAAACAGTTGGGAACTGTTCCGACCTGTACTGACGCTACTTCAAAAAGGACCGAATGGGTCTTAAGAATTATGTGACGGTTCTTGCAGCCAGGAAACGCAAGGACAAACCCCTGGTGTTCAACAAACCACGGCGTACTCTAATGAACTACCCTACAATGCCCTACACTTGCCCCAGACCCTTAGAGTGGAAGAGAAATTTGATCATGAAGCAGTTGTGGGTGCCGATATCCAAAAAAAGGTGTGGGGATGCCTCAGGCCGACATCATGCCCCCCCCCCCCTTTCCCCCCCCCCAACCCCTCTATTACAGGCCCTTGTGATTAGGCTCCAATTTCGGCTCAGGGTCGATGCGGGTATACCTCGTTCAGCGGTGCATGCCCCAAGACCTCAGACAGTTCGTAACTTCTTTGTGATGGCATGCGATGGACACAGAAGTTGTGCACACTGCCCCTCCAGGAGAAGAGACACAGAAGTGGAGGCGGGAAAGCTCATGCAAGTCGGAGGTCTTGTGTGGATGCTGGAGGCTCTGGTTCAACATCCCTCCACCATCAACCAAGAATCGCACGCAGCACCTTGTCAACGTGCAAGTCAAACCCTGAACCCGACTGGCCCGAAACAGAAAGGTGGTATCCTCGATGACCACCATTTGGGGATCAAGTTACGACTCAAACTCGATGCAGGCATACCTGATGTCATTGGGATCTAAAAAGTGGGGGCTGCTGCACGCCCAAACGACTGCTCAATGCCCTCTTGGCTCCCAGGCAGCCAACAGTGGCACCGCAGCACGGAGCCCCAGGCACTCCATGTTTTCACTGTTGCGTGACAAAGAAGCCTGGAAATCGTAGGGAGAACTGCGGAGAATGGCCGCTCCCGTGGAGGCATACCACGGAGACGCGAGACTAACAGTGGCATCCTTGATCAGAACCTGGCTGCCTCAGGTACTTCGAGGCTGCGGGTTTGTGATTCGGGCGCCCAGGCTCGATGCAGGGCACACCTTGTTCAGCGGCGCATGCCTCAAGATCTGAGGAGCCAGACTGTAGCTTTTTCGTGATCGCATGCACACAGAAGCCCTGAATCGAGCGCCCTGGACCAGCACCTTCTGATTTCGACTGAAGTTGTGAAGGCACCCATACGCTTGCCGGGAGGCCTCAAAAGAGTGAGCATGCATGAGCCGGACCCCTGTTTCTACGCACATCTGAAACCGGGATCGCGATTTCAGCAGCTAAAGTGGATGTAGCCCGGGCTGATTCCTGGAGTCATTCCGGGGCGTTGTAAGGCCCCCTCAATTCCAGCCAGGACAAACAGGGGAAAAGCATGGCACTACCTGCACCGGATAATGCAGAGAGCAACGCCATTTGTTTCTCGACAGTGCAATGCGGGTCAGGAAAACTACCGACAAAGAGCTTATACATGTTTACATACGTGATATGCATCGCAATCGCAGCGCACGCGTCAGCTTTCAGGCCGGGATGCAAAGCCTCTGTATATTTCTGTGCTGGACGAGGCAGTGCGTCTCAGGAACTGCAGGCGGCGGCATCCAACAGCCACAGGCCGGCCACGACTGGACAAGAGGAGGGCGAGCCCAAGTAGGATCATGGAAACATCTGCTTCCACCCAGGCCATTGTCGTAGGTACGGTGTGCGCTGGGATGCGCTTGGCAAAGCTGGGAAGGAGAGTCATGGAGCCCAAGCGTCGGGCACGCCATTGGGCGTAGCGTAGAACTTCGAAGGGTATCTCTCGAGAAAGGATGCAGGGAGCGGACGCAGTTTCAGCAACAAGTAGCCAGGCTGGCGGGGGGACAAAGGGGGCAGCGCACTGCGACAAGGCAGAAGCCCGAAGCAGCTTCCCCGCCAGAGTGGGAACATCGCCACCTACAGTGAAGCGAAGTCTGCATGAGCTAAGGCGACCACAAGGAGCGAGCCAAGAACTGCCGAGGGTTGAGGTGGCACGGGCGGCTTCGAAAGCATCGATCGTGACTAGGGTCATGACAGGCATAAGAGGATGAAGTTCGGAAGGGAGGGCCTCAGAGGGGGAGCAGGGAAGGGGAAGCAAGAGGGGATAATTAACGGCCACAACTGCCCCCTGGTCGTTGACACTCTTGGGCGGAAGGATGCAGAGGGCGGGACAGGGCTCGTAGATTTCTGGAATGAGCTGGGAAAGGCTAGGCACCCCAATGCACTCCATCATCTGCATCTGCTTGTTCATGTCGGCCATTTCGTGCTCCGGCAGATGCCTGAGGTGAAAAAGAGAACATATGTCTCTGCTTGCAGCTGTAAGCTTACCAGGAACTACTGTGTGTCGCTCTGCAAGGTCAGGAGCGCGAAAGTAAACCCCCCTGACGTGAACACATGTACAGTTACATGCGAAACCTCTCAACTTGTCAAACCTTCCGTCTGAATAATGCTTGTAGCATTCACGGGCTTGGCTTTGGGATCTATGCTGTACGGATGCTCTCTGCATCCCAAGTTCACAAGACGCCTAAAGCCACATGTCTGGATCGCAAGGGATGTCTTTTTGGACTCGGCGGCTAGCTGTTCAAGATCTTTGAGTTGCAGGACATGTGTGTCTGGGGATCGGGCTTCAGGCTTTCGTGGCCTGCATCTCATGGTCTGAGACAGAATGCTGGATTGAAACCTACAAGTAGCAAGTTCAAGGCTCAGGGTTGGAAGGAATCCTGCTGAGTGCCTCATGCACAGGCGGGGCACGACACCGCTGCCGCACCGTGACGACAATCTCGTCCGGGAAGCACATGGCTCGTTTGTTGTTTGGAGCGTTGAAAGCGGCTTTTGTTCTGTATTTCAGAGCTGCAGGGTTCGGGGTCCGGAGGTTTAAGGGTCCGGAGGTCTAAGAGTCCAGGGCTACTGGGCTTGAGTACTACGGGTTAATTCCTGGTACCTGGTATCTCAACCGCACATTCCTAGTCCCAACCCCAGAGACACGTCCAGCCCTTCGTGCAGCATGGCCTTCATGCCTCGCTGCCTCATGCGGGGTCATCCTGCCAGTTCAATCTTGATTATGAGCCTCAGACCGCAACGCCCTCATTCTCCAGAAACTATTCCAGGGCAAAGCCGCCCATCAGTGATCATCCGGCGTCATGGGCTACCACCGGATGCTGCAGCGACTCCGAGCCAAGGGCAAAGCACCGGACCATTGACTCAAGGGCTTCGCTTCACGTTATGAGAGGTACCAAAACCTGCAACATGGCTTCGCTGACATTTCGATGAACAAACGGATGCAGAGCACTGCTCGTGCTGCCATTCCGTGCAAACTCATTAATGCCCGTGGCTAACATCCATAACAGAAGGCAACACCTGCAGCTGCCAAAGGCCCAATTCACAGTCACGTGCTTCATAGCGGTTGAACAAAGCGCAAAAACGCAGAGTGCAACAACCTAGGGCCGGCTGTTCTGCGACCCGCTCCACGGCCCGTTCGCCTTGAAGTAGCCTGTAAGCCCCAAACTCACCATGCCACAGCAACTATAGTGGACTCAGGTGCTGCCCTCGGTGGAACTCTGTTGTGTCATCGAATACGACCGGTGGCTCTCGAAACAGAAAGCGAAATTTTTGTATTACACTCAAGCATGCATGCCTAATTAAAGGTGTTCTAGTGGATGCGGCCAGTGGCGCCAGTGAACTGTGGGCAACACTGGAGTAAGCATACTACGTGTGATGACCTTTCTGTGTGGCTGCAGGTTGAACATCGACATTCTCAGGGCTGCTAGAGGGAGACGAAGCATCACCAGAAGCACGCCGCATGTACTCTGAACCACAGCCCTTATAATTCCGGGTCACCGAGGGGCAGCTAAAGGAGCAGTTTGAAGCTTGATTCATATGCAAGATGGCTTTTCGCAGTAGAACCCGCCAAATACAAGCCCCCAACACTTGAAAATAAACCTTTTCTGGCGCCGAAATTGCTGGACGCGGTGGTCTCATCGGATAATATGAGTTGGCCAGCCAAGCTAGGCCGGGAAGGCACTGGAGGTGAGTGAACTCGCACATGTTTCGTGACCCCAAGTTGTCCCAAATCCTCACCCTCTTGACTGTATCCCGTTTAATTGAGCTACAAGCCCCGATCACAGCAGTGTCTTGAAAACAGCCGACCAGTGGCTTAGCCACACATCGGCATTCCTAGTGCTAGCCTGGAGATCCAAAACCTGCAGCTCCGATAAACATGGGGGAGGTACCTCTAACCAATCTTCGAAGTTGGAATGATGTTGCCATAGGGCCTCTCGTCTGTCTCCAGGCTGTGGAGGCATTGAACCGAGCCCCTAAGCGCGGATCTTCGTGCCACATTCGACGGGTTCGAGGAGAGCGCTGCTCTCTGCGCCATCTTCGGGCTGCCATGGGCTGCCATGCGCCAACTTAAAAGCAAAAAAGCTATATCACACCCAGCTCACTTTCTTGGCGGCATCCATCCGCACATTCACAGGGTAATCCTCCATCTCTTCCCGTTGATTCCCCACCGAAGCTTGGGAGATCTCCTACATCAGCTGCAGCCCGGGCTTCAAAACATGCAGGGCGCATTCATTGCAGGCTCACGACTGGGTTTGCAACGGTCGCTTGGGTGTTTCTTGGGGGTCTCATGGAGGCAAGCGGGGCCTCGTATTGAGGTTGTTTCGTTCCGTTCCCTAGTTGCCGTCTTTCTATGCAGCAAACAGGCTTAGCCTCCTCTTCATTCGTTTGGCCATGACCTTCTCCAGGAAAACCATCCATGGGAGGATCTTCTCCAAGAAACCCACCCATGGGAGGATCTTCCTGTTCAGTTGACAATCGTGACCGCGATGGCGAAATTTCAACGATTCGGACACGAAGAGTTAGAACTTATGCGCAGCGTGTGCAGCCTCCCCCCGGCTTGGGGAGGCGCACATGTTTCGAGTTAAGGGTTTTTGATTTGCTCATGCTTGTTTTTCCTAGTTGTAAATATTGTGTAATATGCCAGGAACACTTTGAAAAAGTTCATTTCTCGTGAATCTAACGCCCCGGGCCCGAAAGCCGCTGCATCTGCCGGAGTCCATCTCCGCCGTTAGCCTCAGCACCGTCTGGCGAACACGCCGACCCAGCTGCGTTGGCGCTTCCATCGCCATCGACGCCATCTTCGCATGGGACAAAGGTTAGCTTTGCAACTCAAGCATTGTCGGATACTGAGGTTACTGAGGGCTGAGTATGGGTGTTGGGATGTCTTATGCGTTCAACGGCTTCCAAGCCGCAGGTAACGGGAAGACCGTGTCAAGGACAACTGGGCAACAGTGGGCATGTGCTCTTATGTGCTCGTTGTCCCCTCTGCCTTCTTGATCTTGGCCTTTGGCGGCGCAAAGGAATTGGAGAAAATGCGGAGCTTGTCCAGCGAGTCATCTCCAGTTCTTTCCGATGCCACGATCCTTTCTTTTTAGGCCCGTCGCTGGTCTCCACTTTGGAACAGGTCTCTTTTGAATTTTCTTAAGGAAGGCGATCCCCCAAACCAAAATCAGCAGGTGCTATGGTCATTCCGTATTCTTCGCATTCTTTCTCGTCTGGATTCGTCGGGTGCAATCTGTATCGGGATGGGGACACTAATGCAGGCCGGTCTCTCCGCGCGTGTCAGGGAAACGTAGGACAACAACAAGCCGAGGTCGTAGACCGACAAAACCTCGATCGCTTGCTTCAGCTCGGACTCCTTCCCCAGAGTGAGCACATACCCTCCGGGGTGGTTCGTGCGGCAGTGTGGGTTTTACAAGAACTATGACCCCGAGCAGCTCCTTCATGTTCTGAAGCAGGGCTGCCGTGGCTTGCAACCTGTCCAATGTTTCATGCCTAATATGTGTCATGCAGGCTTCATGCTTCGGTGGCCTGTTCGGGATTGAGGAATCTTGTTTCCAGCAGTTTAAGCTTTTGTTTGCCTGGCTGAAACATCCTGCGACGACGGCTGCATCTGAAGGTTGAAGAAAAAGAGCTCATGCTGTCCGCCTGGGCTTTTGGTGAAGATAATTCTGCAGCTGGAAAGGATGGCATCGTTAGCTAGCTCTCTATGCAATTCCAGGGGGTTCTACCGTGGAGAGTTCTGTGGCTGAAAATTGCACACCTAGCCGCCCAGGGCGGCACGGTAAACCAAAGCGGCCATGGTCATCATAAGAAGCACGGCCAAAGCAAGCGCCAGCAGCGCCATCAATATCGAGGCAAGGACATTGGCAAAGTCCTCCGGAAGTCGGATCGTAGCGAGCAACTTGAGCTTCTACCGCCAAAAACTGGCTTACACTGTAGTGTTGCTTCTTCAATGCAGCACTTGGGCTACGGCGGCTACGGTCGAGCCACTTGAGTCCTTCATATTCCCCTCGATCGGTCCCAGATGCAGCGAACTGGAGCCCACAAGCATGGTCATGACCATGCAGAGGAATGTGTCCAGTAGATTCAATAGGGGAACCTTCCATGGCCAGGCGCGACATTCGAGTACCAGGAAGACCAGGAACACAAATGCCATGGACATGACCTGGGACATTCGCTTGGCACGGGGAAACCAACATGGGGCACCATGGGTCCATATTTACGAGAATTCCCCACCTGAATGGGAGGATAGTCGGTCGCCAGTGCGATTGGAAGCGATAGCAAAGGGCCGCGTGTCAGCAACGGTACGCCGAACCACCAGCTGTCCAAGCGGAACCGGAAGAGCAAAAATCGGAACGCCTTCACTTTCCCGTGCTTCCCCTGAGCGCTCCACCTGCAAGTGTTTTTACTTTTTTTGGCGGTGGCCTGGTGGGTTGGTGGGTTCCATTCTTGAGAAACTTAGATTGTTCTGCGGAAGTCCCGGTGAACCCGGACACTCGCTATCTTAGTCCCAGTCTGCACCTCGCAACGAGAAAGGCCCGAAGAAACACATCAATTAAAATCTTCAACCTGGGGGCGGGTGGGGGGTGGGGGGGACTGTTCTTAGTGACAAGCCGATCTGCAAGCCCGAGCCTACCCTATGCCACGTTGTTTATAAGATGGTGCCAGTGCAAAGTTTTGTCAGCGAGTTGCTTCGATCCAATTTGGCACAATTCAAGTGATTGATCTGTGCTCCAGCTGGAGCTTTGCAGGAGACCCTGGCCTGGGCGCCAGGACCACTGCGTAGGTGCAGAGGACCAGGAATCCCAACACTCCGAAGGCCAGCAACAGGAGACCCATAACCTGACAGCGTAAGAGCTTTGGAGTTCTTTCTTGCTGCAGTCCTACATCACCCAGAGCCCGCAGAGCTCTTGTCATTTCGAGGTCATTGAGGTTTGTCCGAGAGAAAACTTTTTGTGCCACCCACCAAGCAGACCAGCCACACTGCAC